TTTTCTTAAAGTGAAAGGAACACTTCCTGTTAGTTCCAGAGGACCATAAAAGAAATATTTCAGTTCAACTATATCGGTGTCATCTTGCTTAGGCCAGATAAACTGATTATTGTCTGATTTTGGCTCGGATTTTAGAAATTTAACTTTGAATTTGTTTCCATTGACAATGTCTGAAACTTTTCCAATATACCATTGTTTATCGTAAGCAACGGCATAGAATTTTCCTATTGTAATCTCCATAGAATCCTCCGAGGATTCCACCACATTCACATCATGAGATTCTGATTGATCTGATGCATCATCAGCTATTTCCACATCCGTTTCAGATGTAATTTTTTCAATGTCTTTTGTTTTTGTCCGGTTTTGCTTAGGTTTTTTCAGGTTGATTTTTGAATTGCTTTTTTTTCAATTTTGATACTTTCAGTGTATTGCCAGTTGCTCCCACAATAAATCTTTTGAGGCGATCATTACTGATTCACTAAGAGGCCAGCAGTATGAGGATTTTTTTATAATTGCAGACTTATCCTTAAGCTGCACTTCAGCGTAGGGGGAATTTTCGTCTACACTTTTTATTCTATCTGAGTAATATTTCAGGTCCAATGCATCCTCTTTCTGAGTGAAAGTTTCAACTCCTCGAGCATCTTCTATTAGACCCTCTTCATTCTTATTCTTATCTTCAAAAGGATTCTGATCCATCTGAAAATTGTCTGTATCTTCACTATCTGGAGTCTTGAACTCTGAAAGATCTTCCATAACACGCTCCAAGTCCAATTGCAAGTAATCCTCTTCATTCGCATTAATACCTATTTGCTGAACTTCTTTCATAGCATCAGCCAGAGCTCTTTCGACTACTGATTCAATGTCTATATTCATTATCAAGTCCTGTTTATCCCTTCTTTTTTTCTCCTCACGTGGAAATACGAATTCTGAGTTTATTTTACCAACTGCAGACTCCGCAAGCGAGAAGTAGGTTTTGTTGTATTTTTACCTCGCTTTTTACATGTCCCTATCCGAACTTTTTATAGAGACTGTCTAATAATATTTGTCCACGACTGTTCTATAAAACATTGTAATTCCTTAAGAATAATAATACCTATTATTCACTAGTGAATAATGATCCATTATTCACGGTATGACGTCACGACAGCACGTCGGTCGCTGATAGCTACGTCACCCTGCGTAAATAATGGCTACCATAAATTGCTCGTTCAATAATATACTATTATTTAATAAAAATAAAAAAAATTAAACCTGTAGTAAACTTTTGACCACGCTGTATTCGTTATGAATAAATGTCATTAAAGTACCTACATAAAAAGTTACCATAAGAACTTGCAAGCTATTTTGATTAAAAATTAAAAGACTAGGAATTTTTTAAATGATTGGCAACATTGTTGGATAAACGTGACTAATCTCACTACAATGAAACGACAATGGAATTAAACCAAACCTAGTTTTGGCCGGGGCCTAAGTTTATTTGAAGTATAACAAAATGAACTATATCGATGTCATATCGACAATTATCAGACTTCTAGGCAATCTATTAAGACATTACTCACCTTTTGTTTTTTTTTTTAACTATCACTATAAGCAACCATGTCACACATATAACACAACTCGATTCCCACGGATTTTGGTTTTCTACATAATATGAGAAGCGAGGGGAAGGCAATGTTGCCAAACTGGCCGGCTCGCTGGTCGATAAATAGTTCCCGAAGTAGTTCCTTATGGAAAAGGCCCCATATTCTACTGTTTTCAATATCTCAATATCCACTTTGCTTATCTTGGACAGCAAAAAGGGAAATAAGTTTGGAAAACCTTTGAGAAAACATATGCTCTTTCATCTTTCCTATGCATCTAATATTCCGACTAATTCCCCTAATACATCGACTAATACCTTCAATACCCAACTAATACCTACTATTACCTACTAATACCTTCTAATACCTACTAATACCTACTAATACCTACTAATACCTACTAATACCTACTAATACCTACTAATACCTACTAGTACCCCACTAATACCCACTATTACCCCCGATTTGTACACCAAAATACCCTTGCGGTTTACCCCTCGCAAAAATCAGATGTACGTAAATGGATAGATGGTGACTTGCGACTTCCAGGATGTGATTTGTGGTCTGAAATTTTTCCGATGCCATTGACCTTATCTAGGGAAAGCCACCCGTTGGAATTTTTTGAACTGTTTATGACACAGGAAATAGTAACAGATATTGTGAAATATACCGTTATGTATGCAATGTCAAACAATAGGAAACTAACGTTGTCCACCGAGAAAATGTATGCATTCCTAGGAATTCTGTATCTCAGTGGTTGTAATGTACTTCCTAGACGTCGGATGTATTGGGAAGAGTCGAGCGACGTTCAAAATCATCTAGTCTCTGGTTCAATGAGGAGGAAAAGATTTGAAGAAATATTTCAAAATTTACACGTTGTGGATAACAATAAGATAGATCAAGCGGATAAAATGGCAAAAGTGAGGCCGCTTATAGAAGCCTTTAATAAAAACTTTTTGAAATACATGCCCATCGAGCAATCTGTTTCAATTGATGAATCGATGATTCCGTACTTTGGACGCCACGGATGCAAACAATTTATCCGTGGCAAACCCATTCGTTTTGGATTCAAGGCATGGATCTTAGCCCTTCGTCTTGGATACTGTGTTCAACTGGATATTTATCAGGGCCGCAAAAAAGATGGCATGGAATATGGTCTTGGAGAATCCGTTATTTTAAATTTTGCTTCAATTTTGAAAAAACATTTTGAAGATTTCAAATTTTCATTGTATTTTGATAATTTTTTCACCTCTGCGAAACTGGTGAGCTTGCTGGGAGAAATGGGATATGCAGCAACAGGAACAGTGAGAGCTAATAGAACTGGGAATTGTGGCCTTCCTGGAGATGAATATTACAAGAAAAAAGACAGGGGAACATACAATACCAGATTTGATAAGGACCATAATCTCGTTGCAGTACGTTGGAAGGATAACAGCAATGTAACATTGTTATCCAATCAATTTGGAGCACAGCCTATGCAGAAAGCTTTAGGTTACTCCGCAAAAGACAAAAAAAAAGTAGAAATACCTCAACCAAATATTGTATCCATGTATAACAGAAATATGGGTGGAGTTGATCAGATGGATAATAATGTTGCTAACTATCGGATAACTTTGCGTGGGAAGAAATGGTATATGCCCATAATTTTATGGCTATTTGATGTTGCCATGAATAATGCTTGGCATCTGGCCAGAGTACATGGTATAGCACTTGACAACTTAACATTTAGGAGGGAGGTTGTCAAAACCATGTTAGCCAAATATGGAACTGCACCCCTCAGGTCTGGACCTACATCTACAAGGAACTATCCTTTACCTGCTAGGCTCAATGCTCGACACATAATCCTCACTAATTTGGCAAGAAGAAGATGCGCTGTTTGTAAAAACAAATCAACAAAAGGATGTTCTACTTGTGAAGTAGCTCTTCATGATAAATGTTTCGTTTTATATCACCAAAAATAAACAGGCAAATAAAATGTTTATAGTTCCATCAACTGGCAAGTTTTATTGTAGTCGTGTGCTCAGGGGTCGTTGGTGACTCACAGCCTAGTATCGCCATTCTTCATGAAAAAAATTTTTTACAAGTTTTTTATAACTATTCCAAATATAATCACACTGAAAATATAAAAATTGTTTTCAATTAAATTGATTAAAATAGTGAGCACGGCTCTACCCTGGGTCGTTGATGACCCACTGAGCATTAATGGGTTAATGCGTTTCTGATTATCACCAAATATGTTAAGTGTATTTTTTTTATGCGTCCTCTACTCTTTTCCCTTATCCTTGTCGGACATCTCAGGTAGAGGATTAACAAGAATGCCCAAATCAAGACTTGCTAATTTGGACGAAATAGAGGACAGTGTCCAAATCAAACATATTACTTTCAGCATAGGTACAGAAGTGCCCAGATCATGACCGCCGCTTGACATATGCAACGTGTAAAGCGGCGTCGACATAAAGTTAATTATTTGACATTTGACAAATTTAAAAATTCTTATTATGGTGATAAATTCTTATTGTGGTGATTTTAATTATAAAATGGAATAAGGTCTGCTTTATTTAGCTAATTTAGAATTGTTTAGGTATTCAAAAAATTATGTTTAATGGTTAAAAATTGAATATTATAAGTGAGTTAATTTTATGTGTGTTAAAAGTGATATAAACAAAAACAGGTTAGTTAGCAATAATTTTAAAATTTTCGTATTGACATATATTTGAGGTACATTTTAGTTTAATAAAAGTTGTGGGAGTGTAAGAAGTTCCCATTAGAAGGGGGGTTAAATTGTCATTTCAAAAGGTAAACATAGTTTTGTCAAAAAATAAAAAACAAAGGAACAGTTTAATCAGTATAAAACTCAGTGATTGGTTAAGATTGCAGGCTCTTATTGGCTGAAATCACAAAATTTTACTATTTTGACACATAAAAAAATTATCTTTGATATATGTAGAAACTATATCCAAAAGGGTATGTTTGTCACCAACACTCAAATATTTTAATACTATCCGATCCCACTACACTTGCGTGGCCACCGAGCTCGCCAGAGCTAAATCCTTGTGATTTTTTAATTTATTATTTTTTTAATTAATTTGAAAAGTTATTACTTCTGTACACAGTCAAAATATATCGGGGCGCCCCGTATAAACAATTTAATAAATAATTTATATTTTAAATTAATTAATCAACAGGTAAATGTAGCTGATCTTTAATAGATATATTATGGTGTGCCTGATGATGATATAATTGCATTAAAACTGGTCAATCATTAAAATAACTCTGTGATAATTAAATGACATATGATTACACTCATCTTTTTTTATTAAAAATTAAAAAAAATGTACTTTCATATGAGGTACCTACCTTAAAAATTAGGTACCTAATCAAAATGCCAACAAAATAAAATAAACAATTTTTAGTACTTACCTCTCCTGTACCAATTAAAGCCAACAGTCCAACAAAAATTACAATTGGAGAATTCATATTGTTTTATTTGACACTTTGTTGCTTTAAATCACACAAATGCAGATTTGAAATCTGAAATTAATCTCCCATTGTATTTATATATAAATACGTAATTATTTCAGTAAATATCAATTAACTATTTTCCTATTCGCCATTTAGTGAATTCCTTGAAACAATTTTTGCCTAATTGAAACTAGTAAAACGTATGATTATTGCGTACAACAGCATTGTGTGCATTTTAAATTGCAGTTTTCTTATAAACAATATATCTAATCAATTCTTAAATTATGGATAGAATTATTCTTTTGATGCTACCTACTTACTTTTAATCGCAAAGGTTGGTTTTAATAGCATTTTAATCAATAGTAATGATAGTGTAGTGTAATAGACAAGTAAAAGGTTGTGAGATATTATTTACTATCATAAGCTTGTTAGGTCCACCATACATTTCCTAGTGGTGCCAAAATTGGAGGTTAGAACAAAGTGTAAATTTATAATGAGTACTACACAAAAATTTTATTTAAAGTAGGTCATAACTGACAAAAACAGATACGGGTCACATCCGTAATAATTACAAATAGGCCAGTATGCAGGTGAACGATTTAATAATAATTCTAACATTTGTTTTTTAATATTCGTGGTAAGATAAAGTACCAAATGAATCAGAGCTAGCCGATTTTGCATCTCGATACAGGGTCGGAACCATTATTATAATCGCAATTGAAATTAAAATAATGGATTGCTGAATGATCAAAAATGAAGATTATAATCTTTATTTAAATAGGACAGCCTAATATACATATAAGAAAAAAAATATTTTAAAAATAACATTCGAAAATACATATTCATTTGAAGGGCTCCTCAGGGCATTTCATTCGAAACAACAGCTAACTTTCAACAATATATTTCAACTTAAAAGATACAAAATCATAAATATACTTTCCATCCCTCATCTTTCCGCTTTTCTTCTTTTTCCTTAACCTCAATTTCTCTTCGTTTTTATTTGTTGGTGATCTGTTACATTTGGAAGCAACTGTCAGTGGCCTCACATAAAATACTACTAGCAAAAAAAATACTACACATTAAAAATTTTTAAACACATAAGATAAAACTTACTTACGTACTAACTAAAACAAAAAATCTGATGTGTCCAGTTATTACAGACTTTTTTTGGTTATTTTGTAGAACCTATTATATCACCCCTGTAAATGTTTAAAGGATGAACTAAATATATACAATTTCCACATACATCTTACTTAAAATATTTTTTTTATATATTGTTACGCAGAACCCTACAGTAGCCTGTAGGCTGGTATAAAAGGAAAAGTATGTCACACCCATCACCCTACAACGTGCTGCGGTTGTTATATGTTAATGTTATCAATTGTTGTTTAAATAATTGTAAAAGTTGAGTTGAAATTCACGTAGATAGCAAAAACCAGCGTTACGTTGGTGACAGCGGTGTTATACAAAATAAAAGTTCATGATAAGTACGAAACAGATGGTTTTTGAAGATGAAGAGGCAAAGAAAAGGCGCCGGCAAGAGAAAGGAAAAAATAGAGAAGAGAAAAAGGCGAGAAGAGGAGAAGGAGGAGAGGCATAGAAAAGCTAAGTTGGAAATTATGAATGACTTACTACAAATTCTAGAAAACTTTAAACAAGAGGTAGGTTAGCTTAACAGTCGAATAGATCTTTAAGCACAACAACCAGAGCATTTAAAAACTAATTTATAACAACAAGAAACATAGCTTCGATAAGCATAAAGAAATTGGAAACACTACTTCGTCCTCATCTATAATCTAACCAAGCCATATTCAAAACCCAGTTTCATAAAGCCATACTGGCAAGATTATTAAGCCACCCACGTTTGACGGTCAGACAACATGGGAAATGTATCGACTCCAATTTTAAACTGTAGCTAAAACCAATGGCTGGGCAAAAAAAAGAGATGGCGGCTTCATTGATAGTGTCGCTGCGAGGACAGGCAGCAACTGTTTTACAGTTTCCTCAAGGGGACCCCAGTTATTCGTCTGTCGTCCTAGCCTTATGGTCAACAGTATTTAAAACGAGTATTCCAAAACCAGCTAAAGGTTCGTAGTCACAAAATAATGGAAGTCTACAGGAATTCGAGACCGATATAAAAGGATTGATTAATCTGGCCTAAGGGAGAAACTGATCGCAGCCCAGGAATATGAAGACGTAAAACATATCCAGGTCTTCTCGCGCAAAAGTGAGAGAAATTAAATCTTAGGAAAGTGAGGAGGCCATAACTAATGCTATTCTCCAACCTACCCTCTTAAAAATCTTAAATATCGTGCAAAATATGCAACGAAACATCCAAAATGGAAGCAGAAGATGTTACAATTGTGGAAGAATAGGACACCTTCTAAATGCCTGTAGAAGTAAAGCTCATTCTATAAATCGAGAATTCAGGAATAAAGCCACAAAGTCACATAGATCAATCTCCCGAAGCCCGTCACGAACTCGAACAAGAAATAATTACGGATGTTAAGAAGCCAATCACCCACACCAAGCCGGCTTTCTAACAATAACCAGAAAGTAGAGCATCGAAGAGGCTCTCTCCATAGCAAAGCAGATTCTCTCCAGGCGACTCTATTTAAAACGAAAATGCCTGTACAGTCAAAGGTTAGAAGAAGACGGTTGATAAAGTTTCTTTTTGGGCAACCACTATCAATCCAGAGAACGACAAAGAAGAATCACCCTTGAAACCCTGAGAAAGGGACAGAAGAAAGACAATGACCCAAAGGTTGCTCGAGAACGTTTCAAAAATAAAGCCACACCTAATCGGCAAGAGATAGCCAAATCCAGTGGAACTATTAAAGAGTACTGGACTCAGTGGGATTCCCTGTATCTTCACAATGGCCTATTTCACTGGAAGTAGAAGAGTCCCGATGGAGTACATATAGTCCGTCAATTGGTACTGCAGAAATTACATATCAGAGGTGTGTTGGAGGAGCTTCATAGCAGCCGTTCGGCAAGACATTTTGGTACTATAAGGACACTAACACGAGTTCGGGAAAGATTTTATTAGGTCAATTGCCGACGGGTTGTAGAGGACTGTTGTAAAAAAATTGATATATACAATGGCAGGACAAAATCTACGGATTCGCTCGAGAATGACTAATAGCCAACAGCGATAAAGCAGAAGCTAGAATCAACATGCGTGCCACAGAGACACATTTTGAGAGAGGTGACCTAGTATGGCTGTGCATTCCCTAGCGGGGACTCTGTTAGAAATGGCAATGGAACTGGGAATGCCCCTACGCCGTCCTTAAGAAAAATCAACGACCTGATCTACCGTATTTAGTGTCAGCAGGAAATAAAGCCAAGGTAGTTCACTTTGGGAAGTTAGCGCCATGCCGTGGTATAGATCCTCCCCCGTTAGCTCCTACCAGGTCCCAGTAATTATATTATTCAGGTCGAATAACTAGAGAGAAGGGAGCAATGTTACGCAGAACATTACAGTATCCTGCGATTGTTATAGAAAACATACGAATAAAAGAAGAAGTATGTCACCCATTACTCTATAGAATGCTGCGGTAGTCATAAGTAAAATTACGAGTAAAAGAAGAAGGTAGAATAGTCCACAAATGTCTATAAATGTCATTACTTGTCAAGAAAAATCCGGATAGTTCGAGAAGGTTCCAGAAGGTTAAAGCGAGCTATATAAGTCGATGATCCTGACGTCAGAGTTTCAGTTTTATGATAGACGTTATACGTTTCTGTTTCCAGTTATACAGTTGCATTGTAAAGTTGGGTTGAAATAAATTGAGTTATCAAAAACCTGCATAACAATACTTTAAAGATATTTACCTCTAAGTACACAAATCGCTGCAGAAAACTTTACTTTAAACATTACGGTGTTTCGAGACTAAAGTTCTCACCTTTCGGCAAGTTTCAGATTGCAGTTTTTTCTCAAGACTCGTCTCTCTATTTAAAACCAAAATTTATGTGACAATTTTTCTTTTGAATATCAAGTTAAAACATTAGATTTTTTGTCAAATCCTTAATATTTTCAAATAATAATGCCAATTATTACAAAATGTTAATTTTACTATAATGGTGAAAAATTTGCAAAATTATGATTATTTTTAATTTTGTCTATTTTCCGACATCGTGGGCTGTTGCAATAATAGTATGCCTAACTTACGAATGCGGTCATTTGCAATCCATATTTGCACATGTTACAATTTTGCCGAACCATTCTTAGATAAATAAAGAAATTCCTTGTTAAATATAAAAAATACATCATGCCGTCATCGGAGAGTGTTGTAAATTTTCACATGTATTTAAAGGGGTATTAGCGAGTATTGGAATTAAAAAATAGATTGCAGCGCCGTCTGTGCTTGACGTTTAAACTAATTCTAGTAACTTGTTATTGTTTACTGTCTACATTTTTGTGTTCGTTAATAGCCCATTGGACACTTTTATTTCAATAGTTTTTAGGTTAACCGTTCACTGTCCTAATGGTATTTTTCCGCAAACCGTTACACGTCCCCACTTAAATTTGTATGCCGCATATGTGGTTTGCAGGACTCTGTGATAATTTAGATGTACGACCTACGTCCTACGACCTATATGTGGGTCGTAAAATAAAACCTTGAATATTTGGCAACGTTTCGCAATCAAGACGTATTCTGTATTTCAGCCCACCAACTGTTTCGTAGTCTTTCTCGAGCGTACAAAGAGGTGTGTTGTATTACTCAGTTAAAAGTGTTTCCTCCTAAAAACACGGCCGTGTTCGGAATAAAACGTAAACTAATCCAAAGAGAGTTAAAAGATATCGCAGAAAATTTATCCGAAATTTGTTCTGCCAGTGATTTTGATTTAAACGACAGTGTGGCAGATCCGCATTACGGAAATGAAGATGGCGATTCAAGTTCTAATGAAAAAATGAATGATAGTGACATTCAAGATGAAAGTGAACAAGAAACTAGTGAATGAAAGTGATCCCGATTTCTGGTAGTCAACCATACTCTTGTTTTTAAGATTTACATTTGGTGCAGTAGGTAGAACAAACATTCAAATTACTCAAGACATGAAACCCATAGATATTTTTAGTCTATTTATAACTGACGATATTATTGAGCTAATGGTCGAACAAACAAATAATTATGCTTTAGAACTTCAACGCAAAAAACGTTTAGTACGCTTAGCAAGAATTTCTAGATAAAACGATACAGGCAAAGAAGAAATTAAAACATATATTGGCAAGTAATTAAATCTTTGATTTTTATAGTGATGTCTGAATATGATGTGATTGTTTTAGGTATGCTCCTGCTTATGGGACTTATAAACTGCCCTACTATGGAATGTTACTGGAAAAACGACCCATTGTATTACCATGAACTTTTCCACCGAATTCCTATAAAATATAACCGTTTTGCATTGTTGCTGAAATGTTGGCATTTCGAAGACAAAACAATACCTTCAGAAGACCACTTGTCAAAAATTGCACACTTGTTGAATCTCGCTAGAAATAACCTAAAAAATTCGCATTAGCATGGTGATACAGTTGTTGTGGACGAAACCATGGTTCCTTTCAGAGGTCGTCTAAAGTTACGTGTGTCTTTTTATCCAACTGTTGCAGCAACGTTGGCATCGGTGCGGTATCTACCCGTCTTTTATATCAATGATAAACTAGCAGCGCTGTCTTTTTATCCAACGTTGATGCAATCGATGCAACACCATTTCATCATTTCAATGTATGGTTTTTCCGATTAGATGTGACAACTGACAGCTATGGATTGCGGGAATTAATCAGAATTAAGGAGTTAATTAATTATTTAATTGTTTTTTGTGGAAAAAACCGAAAAAATGAGATTTTAAAAATATATGCGTCCAAATTAAAGTAAATAGGTACATTCAAATAAAATTATAAAAACAAATTTCAATCCAAAATGTCAACTGTTATTTATTTCAACGGTCAACCATAAATAAATAGAATCCAACAAAAGGCGTTTAAGGCCGCATCGGCGAAAAAACGATTCCAACAAACCGGTGGAAAAGAAGAAACACGTGTTTCGTTAGTATAATTCATCAAAAGTCCATAGATATGGTATGAAACTATTTACTTGGATACACTTGGGATCTAAAAATTTACAGTGGGCAAAATGAAAGACGCCAAGGACTAGATCTTCCTGGTAGTACAGTTGTGAAACTAGTTGATCCCTTGTTAAATGCTGGAAGATTGGTTATAACTGACCATTATTATGCAAGCATTGAAATTGCCAAATACCTCTACGAGTGGAAAACAAATTTGTTAGAAACCATGAGAAAAAATAGAATAGGCCTGCCCAAAGATGTAGTCAACTGCAAACTAAAAAAAGGACAGATAATTGCCAAACAAAATAATTTTATAACATTCTTCAAGTGATATCCATATGCTTTCCACGTGCCATGATCAACAAATGAAAGTTTTTAGGAGAAAATAAAAATGGAGAAGAAAAAATCAAACCCTTAGCTATAATAGAGTATAACAAGGGAAAGCAGCGGGTAGACATCTCTGACCAATTATCTAGTTATTACACTTGTCTTTGAAAGTCTTTGGTTTGGTTCAAAAAATTGGCCATTGAAATAATTTGTGGGACACTTATTGTTAATACTTTTATTTTGTATAATTCTGTGCATCCAGTAAAATTTTAGTCATCAATGATAAAAATTAGAGAATCTCTTATTTGCAGCCTTCTTAAAACAAATGAAAAGATGAAAACACAAGAGAAGCATGGGGGAAAAAAACAAGAGGAGGGCGTCCATAAGCTAGAAGAACTATCTAGAGGTAGCGATGACAAAATATATAGAAAAAACTATCATGGGTGTTATAATAAGTTAAGAAATACTCTTACATCAAAAGAAGCATTTAAAAAACTAAGAAAGTCTTAACTTTTTGCCGTTTTTGCAACCAAGCATTTTGTATTTCTTGCTACGCAGAAAATCATTGATTTTCCCTCTGTTTCCTTTGTATACACTTTTAATAAAAAAAAAAATATTATTTTGTTACCCCATTTTTAATATGCAGTATCTCGTTTTTTTCCCCTTAGAGTCCTCTTAAAGAAAGCAATATTTTACTGACACGTCCTTCTTAATATTAAGCTACAACAAAACAAACATTTACGATCCCGATATGGTTCGCAAGACTTATAGGTAAATGAATTTACGACCCATATATGGTGAACGTGTTAAAGTAACAGATATATTTTTATTCGGTAATTTTGGGTTAGAGTTACTTTCATTAATTTAATTTAAGATAGTTTAGTTATCTTTTAATAAAATATTAATATATTTATTCTATTTTTAGAGATATCTGAAATAAGGATAGTTTAATAGAATGGATGTGTCTTGGTGGAAGTGAAAATTCTATGGCTGTTATTGAAGAAGAGGTTATTTTATATGCAGGCCATATAGTTTTATGTGGTAAGAGTAAATATAGCGATAAACCTATATCTGTTTTAGGCCAGTTACTATTTAATAAGTTCTCATTCACAAGAAATTGGTAAATGGCAGTGTTTGTATAAAGCTGGGAACAATGGACACTGCAAACATATTTCAGGAGTCTTAATAAAGTGTTTTATGTGCATAATGTTCAAATAATAGAAGTACTTTCAAGCTAATTTGATTAAACGCCTTACGTATTCACTATTATTTTTGTGTTTCTTTAGAATCTTATTAGGTTAGGTTAGGTAATAAAAGCCATCATTGAGCCCTTCAAAGAAAATATGATTTTTTCTACATCCACATGTATATTATTTATTCTACGCACAGCCTACAGAACAAAAAAGTAAGCTATTGTGTTCTACTAATAAATATATTTATTAGTTCTATTAAAAACACTGTACTGATATGAAATCCAGCTATCACAATTTATATTTGGTCACCAGAATACTTATTTCTTTTTTTTTAATTTTTGATGATTGAAAACTTATTGTCAGTACATTTTTTACTTATTGTGATTAAATATAATTACAAATGAGTAATTCTTGTGAAGAATCGATAAATACTTTTATTTTTACAATATTTTTAAATACGTCTAAAATCAGTTTTTGATAATTAAAAAAACATGTGTCTCCTTGGTGAGGAAGCAAAATATTTGTGTCTGCACTTTTATGTTTTTTGCATAAACTATTTCCTAATCTTATTGAACGTCTAAAATTTATTTCAATGTTCCATAATTTCATTTAACAAAATGTTTGATAAAAACAGATACAGAACAATTATTGACCTTTTAAAATCATCCATTAACATAATGTTATTTATGTGATCTCTTCTTTAATACATTAAATGCAAATATACAGCTCGAAATTTACGATTGATTTGTATTTAAAAGAATATTTTTTTTAATAAATATTTTTATTATTCTTAAGTTTACTAGTCATTGTGTACAATTACATTTTGTAATGAGTGATTGTACATTGATATAGTAGTTTGTGCAACAAGAGTGGATATGATGGCCATATCGCATGAAGACGAAGTTTGAGCATAACGCCGTAGGTTTAGTGCTCAACGGTCCGAGTGCAATATTGACAATCCACTCGACTTGTACAGTAGATTTTTTTTACGACCCATTAACGAAAATTTACAAATTTAAAAAATTATTTTAGGTTATTAAGACAAAATAACTAATTTAAAATAATTTATGAATTATACTTATTTATAAAATAAATATAAAAAAGATTTAATTTAATTAGTCCCCATTCCACATTCGATCCCGGGCTTTTCGCGTGGAAGGCATATACTTTGTTCTCACATCCACAGCCACTTTTATGATTTTGGTTTTAATACTCGTAATTAAACTAGTTTCATAAAGTTTGATTTAAATTTAATTTTTTTTTTTTCAAAATGTGGACCAAATAAAGATAAAAATATTATTTATTAATTATACATAAAAATAACTAATTTTAATGTATATTTAAACTCAATAACTTAAAAATATACTGACAATTATTTTTACAGAATTATCACTTTTTTAATTTTAAAAATAGTAGCAACGGTTGACCAAAATATGAAATGTGATTGGTGTATTTAATTTTTTTGCAGTGTTCTCACTACCTAGAATGAACATGAAATATATTCATTCAGTTGAACGAAATAGCGTACTTTTTCGTTTTGTAGTAGGTATGTGCGTAGAAAAGCAAATATCCATGTGGGTATAGAAAAATGTATTTTTATGATATTTTTTTGTTGGTACAAAAGGGTATTATTATAAGCAATAAGCACAATTTGGTGCCATATTTTGAAGAGAGTCGAAATACCTTTAAAATGTTATTCACCGGGATTAAATCCAATTCGTCATTAAAAAAAGAAAAATTGGCGATTTTTTTCCATCGCCTACTTTAGAAACATTTTTTGAAGATCACTCCATACAACTAATCTCATCTAATAGCAAAATGCTAACACACTAATTTCATAACGTATTCCATCATATTTTAACTAAAATGAAATAACACAAAAAGATAATAATATAACGTCATTTATTTTGTAAACTGATAACCTGTAAAATATAATATTCATGTTTTTGAAAATTACAACACATCTCTGAAAGAGTAAAAACATTTTCCGCTTTCGAAAGCTTTTTCTTCTGCTGATCCTTTTTCTACCAAGCATTTACTAAGGATTTCAGATATTTTAGCTGTAAGAAAGAAAAACGTATAAATAGTAAAGTAATGTAGGGTTTTGTAGTACTCTACATTTAAAGAAATTTTTGAATAAAAAAAATAGACAAATATTAAATACGTGTACCTATTTTTTGAGATTTATTCAAATTTTGATCTCATTTTGTAATCTTTTTTCAAAATTAATTGATTCAAATTAATAAAAACTGGATTTAAAGTGTCACGGATTTAATCTTTACCTATACTTACGTATTTCTTGTAATTAAAAAATAACCTTAAAAATAGAGTATTATGAAACCTTTGCATATACTGTTCCAAAGCAAACTAAATGCCAAACTCAGTATTACCGAAATTATTTATGTAACAAAATAAGATGTAAAAAATGTAAAATTTATTTAACCTTAAATCTAAAAAAATCCGTAAAAGAAAATTTAAATTATTTTCATTCGCTTATATTCAATAATATTAATTGGTGGTGGTACTTTCAAAGGGGTCTATTCTGTAACAATTCCTTTATATTTAACGGCCTTTAAAAATATTGGCGGCCTTTAAAAGTATATTTGTATTCGTTAATTTACTTCTGTCATTATTAATACGGATTTCTTTAAGATAGTCCTCTAATGTATTTTAAAGATCTGTTTAAATAATGACAGAAGTAAGGAAGAAAATATTTTTAAAGGCCGTTAAATATAGAGGAATTGTTACAGAATAGACCCCTATGTCTGTTTTTTTTTATTTTTAGTAATAGAAAAACTATGTCAAAATTTAAATGTATATGCTCATCTGGAGCAACTTTTTCAAAATTTGATTTTGTTTAATCTTAAAAAAACTACTTTTTTAATAATTTTTTATCATTTATCTATACTGACATATTTATTTGTTTTACTACAAATAGAAAATAAACTTTAAAAATGACGTATTACGAAAGTTTTGCGTACTCTGCCATAAAGATAAGTATTATCGACTTAAATGTACAGTGAATATCATAAAAGTGTCCACATATATATTTTAAATTTGAATACCAAATTAAACACATAGGGGAAAGTCGCCTATATTGTACCAGCTCCTAAATTGTACCATTCCCTAATTTTAAAGAAAACAATACCTTAAGCGCCATTTTCTATTGCCACGAGGTACTTTTATGTATTTGAAGGATAGTAGTTAGAGAGAGTGTCGTTCCGCAACGGTTTTGAAGAGCAAAAAGTGATTAAATAATTTATACCTATTTCAAGTAGGTAAGTTTCGGCTACATTTTCTTAAGGTTTAAAACAAAATCTATATTTAGGACGATTTGAATAATATTATATATATAATTAAACTTAGATCACCTGAACTGTGATACTGACATGATTGAAAAACACTATTGATGATGATCTGGGTTCTATATTTGATCCAAGTTCAGGTGAACGAAAGTTTAAACTATGATTGAAAAACTGGCTCTTAAAGTAACTATATTTAGCACCTTTTCGTACAAATTTAAAATATAACCTCAAAAACTTAACGAATTGTGATTAAAAGTTTCCAATTTTGTCTCGTTGCCTAATGTGGACCACTAAGCTGTTTCTTAATTTGTAGCTGTACAAATTAAACGACTCATGCATGTTTTTTTAAGAATGCCACCTCTTAGAAAACGAAAGGGAAAATATTTGTAAGGAATGCTTAATAGAAGATATGATTAAATCCATAACATGTAAAGAATGGGTACATGAATCATGTGCAGATGCTTCAGATAATTACATATGTATGTGATATATTATGTGGTCTTAAACATATTGCAGCATTTTTTTATACCAAAGAAGGTCGTTTTAATTTTTTTTATTTTAACAGAATTTATATTTGTTTTAAGTTTTCAATTTCATTTCAAAATAAAATATTATGTATGTAATATAAAGGATAGTACGAAAGACATTATTTTAAAATTTTGAAAAAAATATATATTTTCAAAACTGTAATGAAAATTATGGAGCAATTTAAACTATCATTTTCTAAAATTTGTAATTGCTATAACAAAAAATATCAGAACTGGTCCAAATTGGGCAACCTTACCATATATAATATACATGATTATTTTTAAAAAAGATTCGGCTGAAACATCGGAAAATATAGAATAGTCATTAAAAAATCCCAAAACATGCCAAATTTTATTTAGAGGGGGACATCTTTCTATCATATCCTCAACTATCGGACAACTCCCATCCCTTCCGACTTTATAACCAATGCAATTTAAATAGACAAAGTATTACACCACATTAAAATGGTAACGCTATATTGTTACGTTTTTTTGTTATGGGCTTCTCCTAGAAGATTTGATTAAGATTGAGTTAAAATTTTAGAGCAGTCAGAGTTACATTAAGGAAGTTTTGAGCAGATGTGTAAAAAAGAAGTTTTTATTTTATTTTGGAAAATTGTACTTTTCAACAATTTCGCAATTCCAGGTTAACTGACGTATTTTTTATATTAAAGTCCTCAGGTTGGATTTAAAGAATTGGTAAATTCGGGTTTACTAATCCTAGACTAAATATAATATCAAATATAACAAAGAATTACGAAAATACTCACCAGGATCCGCAATACGTGAATCTAATTCTTTGTGAATTCTGTCCATATCGTAATTACCAGCTTCATCGAAGAATCCCATAGCTGTCGTCATACAAAGCATATGTTTTTTATATACCGGATCATCAGGAAAGTCTCCTACCATTGCCCTTTGAGACATTTCTTTAGTAGCACCGCTTTTTGGCATACAATCTTGATCAATTTTCATCATTAGTGAAATTTCAGCATCTGAGATACACTAGAAAATAAATCTGGTTATTATAAATGATTTATTAAAAGAAGAGAACACAAAAATAGTAGAAATTCCTAGGGTAATGCCTAAAGAGATAGCTACATAAGCTTCCTGGGGCCACTTTTTTATATAAAAGAAATAATATTATCTTGCAATAATTGTGACTTATTATTTCACAATTGTGACTTATTATTTCGCAATTATGAGTTAATATCTCGCAATTGCGACTTATTATCACGCAATTGTGAGTTATTATTTCGTAATTGTGACTTATTATCTCGCAATTGCGACTTGTTACCACGCAATTGCGAGATAATAAATTTATTTTCAGTCTATGTAAAGCTGATGAACGACACACGTATGGGTGAGGGAGTAAAAACTTCAAAACCACAGAGCTGGGCTACAAGAAAGAGTGTAGCCAAGAATCCATCGCGCTTACAATCGAAAGACGTGCTATTCAGAGGTATACGGACGGTTCCAAAACCATAGAAGGAACTAGAATAGGAGTGTATGGGCCGAGAACCAAGCACTCCGAAAGCTTGGGAAAATACCCAAGCATCTTCCAGGCGGAAATTCACGCCATCGAGAAGTGTATCCAGTTTAACATCGAGAGAAACTATCATAGACAAGAGATTATCATCATGTCCGATAGTCAAGCAGCCATCAAAGCGCTGAGTTCTTACATAATCAGCTAGGCATCTCCAGAACTGGAGATGCCTTGAACTATTGAATGAGCTAGGCGAGAAAAATAGAGTTACTCTCACTTGGGTCCCGGGACATAACGGTGTTCAGGGTAACGAGATTGCAGATAGTCTTGCAAGGAAATGGACTCAAACATCCTTTGTGGGACCTTAGCCGTTCTGCGGTATCAGCAGTAACATAATATTAGGAGAGATTAAAAAAGAATTGGGTAGTAGAAGAACCGATAATTGGAACAATCTCTTGGGGCTAAGACAGGCCAAGATACTTCTGGGTGAATATAACCAGAAAATATCGGAAGCTTGCATCTGCCTAAGCAAGAACAGGCTACGTATTGTAACAGGGATCCTTACCGGGCATTGCCGACTAAAAGGACACCTAAGTAAAATGAGAGTAGTAGAGGATAGTGAGTGCAGATTCTGTGAGGAGGAGGACGAAACCTCCATTCACAAACTAACTAAATGTTTAGCACTCCAGAATCCAAGGGCACTATATCTAGGAGGATATCAAATAGAAGAGGGAGATTTACCTAACTTGAAGCCACTTCAAATTCTACACTTCCTTGAGAAAATAGGATTGGAAGGGTCACTATAGGCATTGATACATTTCCTTAGTGCAGAGGCGACAAAAGGGGACACAATAGACCTTTTAGGTCGCAGTGTATTAACACCCCATTCTCAACATAACATAACATAACATGGGTGAGGGGGTAGGTTAGGGGCCTGAGACGAGATGTTTATCGCTAGATATTTACATCATTGCATTTATTTTTTTATAATCTATGCCTTTACGTATTTTAAGTTCTCAATTAATCAAATAATAAATTATTTAGTTTAAGTGTTAACAATTTTACATTATGATTGACAAATAAATAGGTATTATACCACACTATACAGATCAAAATAATAGGCCGAAAGCCAAAAGTAAACCTAACCTAATTTTTATGTATGGTAAAAATGTCACCATAACGACCATACGATTTTTAACGAAAATGAGTAGTTTACTATGAGAAAAATATTAATTGGGAGAAAATATATTATTGTAGACATAGGTATTTGTAGGTAGATAAGGATTATTCCTCGAACTACTTCGGAAAACGGACTTTGAAAAATGCGCGGCCATATTTTTCTTTCTCATGTATATTAAGTATGGGAACTGCAGATACCTTTCGAATAGCTGGAGCTGTGAAGTACCGACTCGAGTCCAGTAGAAGTAATATATCTTCACATGAATAATGAATCCATTAATAATCTTAAAAAAAGTACTTTAAATTTGACTTGGTTTCTGTTTCTAAATTGGAATTTTTTCAATAAATACATTTTGTATTAAGGTACTATTTTGGAACGCGAGACCGAGACAGAAGACAGAGGCAAGCGACCACATAAGGTGACCGAAATGTGTGTCTTACGTCTGAATCACATATACTTAAATGAAGCACATTTGGGTCAGTGCGACCGATGCAAGAGACGAGACAGCACTTTTAACACGGTAGTGTTTGCTGTCTTGATGCTTATCGCTGTCACTTGCATCGGTCTCACGTTCCCATACTGTACCTTTAGGAACATAGTACAGTTCGTTATACAGGGTAATATTTTTAACAAACAATAAAAATTGTAAATAATCAAAGCCGGTCCTAATTTTTGTTATAAATTGTATTTTTTTTTTCAATTTAAAATAATTGACTAATTTTAAACATATATTTTTTATATTTAATTTAGGATAATACAATAAATAATTTTTTTTGTTAGGGGAAGTGCCATTTTTTTTTTTCAAACGGTATTATGATGGTTTCGTATGTAGTTTTCCCCAAATATAGCCATAGAAAAAGTACAGTTTTCAACTTGCGAGGAATAATGCTCGTAGGCCGTAAGAAATGAGTACCACTGCTTGCTCTTTAAACAAAGAGCACCGAAAAAACTTACCGGAGTATTTTTATACCATTTCTATGACAGTTAATTTAAACAAACCCAAGTTTATGCTTCGTTTCGTACCGAAAATATCCGAATTGATAAGAGTAACGACAAATCGATTGTAAAAATGGCAACTAAACATTATAATATATTTTGCAATCTTTTTAATCGATAGCTATAATTCCATTTAAAATTCAATGTGCACAAATTTTTAAAAACTGATTTTTCTTTAAATCTATTTATTATTTATTATTTTGACTATAGTCAAAGTTTATTAGTTTTTTAAAAAACTAGTTCTACATAAGATTAACATAACATTGAACGGGGCCCTTTTTTAGCCTTGTACAAGGATGTACAGATTTCCAATTGCGAGATAATAAGTCACAATTGCGAGATAATTATTCACAATAGCGTGATAATAAGTCACAATTGCGAGATAATAAGTCGCAACTGTGAGATAATAAGTCAAAATTGCGAAATAGTAACTCACAATTACGTGCTATGTCGCAATGGCGAGATATTGTGTAACAATTTTGAGTTAATAATTCACAATTGCTTGATAATATGTCGCAATTGTGAGATAATAAATGACAATTGCGAGATAGTAAATCATAATTGCGAGATAATAAGTCACAATTGTGAGATAATAAGTCACAATTGCGAGATAATATTTTTTTATATAAAAAAAAGTGGTCCCAGGAAACTTTCGTAGGTAGATAAGGAAATCAAAGAAAATATCAATTCCAAGAAAGCACTCAGGTATGATCTGATTACAGGTAAAATACTAAAACAATTGCCAAGAAAAGCTGTGGTTAAACTCACTAATATAATAAACGCTGTATTTCGTGTACCTAGCATCTAGAAAGTCGCTGAAATTATAATGATACCCAAACCTAGAAAACTACCAAATTAAGTAAAATCTTATAGATCTATATCCCTCTTACCAGTGTTATCTAAACTTTTTGAAAAACTTTTACTAAAAAGATTGAAACCATTGATAGACAGTAAAATTATAATGCCTGACCACCAATTTAGATTTAGGAACAAGCATTCCACTATTGACCAAAACTACAGAAAAACGAATGAAATAGAGAAAACATTGGAAGACAAGAAGATCTGCACCTTATTATTTCTAGATCTAGCTCTGGCTTTCGATAATGGCTGAGTTCGGTTTGGCGTTCGCTGTACTCAGAGTGCACTCGGTATGCCTCAATTGTGGTCGTTTTGGCACTCAGAGCGTACTATTTTGTGTTCGGCTTGCCACAGATCACGTACTCGGAGCGCGCTCACACTTCCCCGAGTTGGCCGATGGAGATCGGCGGGTATCTGTAAGAATGTGTCAAAAATGTGAAATGTCAATATTCTGATCGGCGATTAATCAGTTTTATTATTTCTTGTTTGTTTTTGTTATAACTATTTCCTATTTGATTAAAATTATTTTTTTTAAATCCAAACACACAAATAAAAGTGTATTCAAGTGTAAACTATCACTAGTGTCATTTGTCATTCCCCTTGTGTTCGTTTTGAGATTGTAAAAAGAGCGAACTCTGTCTATGACGTCACGCACACCGTGCGCGCTCTGTCCGATCCGCCGAGTTTCAAACCGAACTTACCCAATGTAGGTTAGAGGGTCTTGAATATAAAATAAATATACTTCTACCTAGGCAATATTGTGAAATTTTACTTGACTGATAGAAAATAATTATAGACACTTAAACATTGTTATTTAGACTCTCAAAATATCTGGACGGATAATTGAAAAACCTTCCAAGAAGAACACATTTTTCTTATATCCCTAACTGTCAGATGTCATTCCCCGCCGCCACTCTAACCAATAAAATTTAAACCAAATATGACAGACACATCATGGCAAGGATAATTTTATTGGAAATTTATCAAAGTGACTAAAAACTGATTCGCATTCTAAAGTGTGGCACTTTATTTGAGAGTTATTTTTTTTATTTAATGGATATCCTAACAATTCATTATTACTCAAACATGAATATTTTTGTAGAGATCTAATGTTAAAAAATTCTTACTTTAACAAATAGCAATTAACCAAAATAAATTTATGCTCCGTATTTAGATTTTTTTTAAAACATTTTGAAATACTGTGGCTAAAATGTCGAGAGATACACAAAAAAACAATATGTGGTAGTATTTCAAGTTCAATTATAATAAGAAATGAAAAGAAAATACGCTTCTTTCGTGTGAACTTGACAATATTCCGTGTGAGGAGGAGCCGAACACAAGAAATCATGCAAGCACGGGAGTAGTAGTTTATGCAACACGACTGGATATGTACAATCTAGTCGAGTTGTACAGAAGATTTTATCTACGACCCACTAAAGAAAATATACAAATTTAAAAAATTATTTTAGGTTATTAAGACAAAATAACTAATATAAAAATAATTTTACTAATTTTTAAAATAAAATTAACAAAAAAAGAAGATTAATTTAATTAGTCCCCAGCTCGGATTCGAACTTGGGCTTTTCGCGTGGAAGGCAGACCGCACCTCATCGCCACTTATAAGATTTTAGTTTTAATACTCGTAATTAAATTATTTTCATATAGTTTGGTTAGAAAGGACCCCGCAATAATCTTATGGAAATTGGGTTTCTGTTAAATTGTCTGAATTTTGATATGTTGTAGATTTTGTCATCCTGAACAAAAGTCTCTATGGGCACAAATTGCCAAAATGAATATTTTGGCAGCTGTGGAGCTGCCAAAGCTCCCCTGACCCGTTGCAAAACTTTCAATACTATTTACAGATGTCAAAAGCATATTTTAATTATTCTAATATATAGTATAATGTTTTTGAGGTCACTGGATTCAGCTCTTATGTCAGATTGGATAAATTGACCGTTGACAGCTGTCAATTCACTGTCAACGAGAAATATAAAAGTAAATATCCTCTTTTCACATTGAGAGTTTGGGTTTTTAAGGTCGCTGAATTCAATTCTCATGTTAGATTAGACAAATTAACAGTTGACAGCTGTCAACTGACTGTCAACGAGGAATATAAAAGTAAATATCCTCATCATATTTGCATGGGCGAATCGGCTAAATAAAATGAGTGGATCTCCTTATTATTTTTGGGACAATAATTTTCAGAAAAATCCATCATCTTTTTCAGTTAAGGACTCTTTTAAAGCTTTAAGTATGCTATACTACAGTGTCACACAAATAGCCATCATAACATGCACAAAGCAGTGGGTGTTAGAGAAATCTCAGAAATGTGGGAACAATTCACTCATAGACATAGACCAGAGAGTACTCAAAAAGACCATCGCCAAAACTCACCGACTATCTACTAGTAGGTCTAATAGAAGGATATTGTAGGCTTAACAAACATATGCCTAACATTGATCTGACAGAAGAGACCTTGTGCCGTTCTGTCAAGAATAGGAGGAAACTGCAGTACAGGTATTGTGACCACTGCACGAAGATCTATCAAGTGAATAATCACATTATGAAATAATAAAGTTCCATTTAAGATTATTTTATAGTATATGACTGACAAAAATAGATTAATACCTTTAAAAATTTCAAAATCCAGGGTTAAATGTTTCGTATTTTTTATATCAAAAATACATTAATCTAAAATAACTTACCTCCGTTTCAATGGAGAATATAGCCACAAGAACTGCTACTAAAATGTATTTCATTTTAAACAAATTATTAACTATTGATTACTGTTTAAAGTTGTTAAATAAATGATAAATTTTGGGATTTGTTTTTCATTTATATAGAAAATTTTACTGCAGACAATAAACAATAATTATATATTTTAAAAATAATAATATACTATTAGCATCCACACAATAATGTTTTCGTTAAAATCGCCAAAAAAATAAAATTACATAAAAGCCTGATTGTAGGGTATAGACAACAGGTGTACTTGAAATTAAATTGGGGCAATGCAATAGTCATTCATAAAATAAATAATACTTTATTAACATTACTAAACAACTATTTGAGAAGAATACATCATCGAATAAAAAATGAACGACAATTATTACAAATATGAAAGTTCTCTTTTTAGTAGAAATATGATTAAAATATTTTAAAAAAATATATGTATATATAAAAATACTAATTTTACACTATTTAAAAAAATATTATTTTATCTTTATGTATTTTAAATATTTATTTGATTTTTCAGCACCATATTACTTAGATTAAGATCTGCTAAACAGATATTGTAAATTTTAATAGACATCAAATAAAATTACTAAGGAAAATGTCAGTTATTACTAAAAGGGTTAATTTTCCGATCGAAATAAGAAAATTAGTCAGAAACAAAGAAGCTGTTAAAAGTAGAAATAGAAATCTGATTAACAAACAAAAGACAAAGAATAGTAGTAGTTAGCTCTTTTTGCAAAATTAGGCTACAGACGAGGACAATTACTATTCTAAAAAGTTTATTTATGATGAAAAATGGATTTTTAAAAGTCGTTACTCTTTTTAAATGTTTTGTTTTTATTTTTAAAATATATTGTTAATAATGGTTACAGAGGTTATGACATTATAAGTTTTGTAACTTGCTTTTAATTTGAATAGACATTAACTTTTATGTTTATGTCTGTTTATGAAATAAAAAATAATTCTGTAATTTTGCTAAAAGTTATCTAAACAATGTATTTTTAAAATTTTACGATAATATTGCTCTACCTGCAAGTAAGTAATAGTAAAAGTTTAATAAAAATTAAAGTTATGTTTTAGGTGTCAAACAACTTACTCGTGAAGTAATTGCAGGTGCTCCAAAAAGCAAAGTGTACCTACTGATAACATTATAAATCTTTTTTCCTTTTAATTAATTACTTGATATAGCTGCTTGTAATGCGATTTTTCTGCATGCATGTGTGAAAATACCCGGAAAGTACCTACTCAGTAACAAAATTTTCTTTCTGATCAAATATCGGTGAGAAAAATGAGCATAGGAAATATAGATCATGAAAAAACAATGAAAATCCAGAGAAATCGAAAGGCTAAAAAAATATGAATCAGCACTTTGCAATTTATTAAGATCCAGCTGTTCCTCTCAAAATACTATATTATTGTCAGGGTCAGAATCTGACCCCTGAAAACACTCAAATGAGAACAAAGTTACCTACGTTAAGTCTTGAATGCGATAAATATGGTATATCTGATCAATCAGCTGTTGTGATTGCTAGTGCAGTATTAAAAGATGTAGGAATAATTACCACAGAAGATCCTTCGAAAATTGTTGACAAGAATAAAGTGAGAAGAAAGCGAAAGAAATCTAGAAATACCGCATGGAAGGAGTTTAAAAGTAATAACAGAAGAATAAGAAGTCTGTATTATGATGAAAGAAAGTACAAAACTTTACTGCAAGAGAAGAAAAACGCTAGATTATACAAGAAAACTGTTGTCGAAGAACACATATCGCTTATCGAAGAACCTGAATCTATCTATATAGAACAAAATGGTCCCTTTATCAATTTTTTAGGCTAAATATACCACAACAACGGAATATTTAAGTACAGTTTAATCAAATAATAAAACGAACATACTGGAACATAGTTCTCTGAAAACATTATTCATAATGATAAAAACAAGAGAAAAATAATTTATTTTTTAAAAAGCTCTACAGGGACCATTTTAAACCATGCTTAGGGTAAAATGGCCCTCCTCATGGTGTAAAATGACCCCTATATTTTTTTTGTCAAGCAAAAGTAAAAAAGATAAAATTTATTTGCAAAAATCGCAAATATACACTTTCTGCTTTCCTGTAACACCCGCGCACAATGAATCATTTTTGCACAAATTGCACATAATCCAAACCTCCTTTGCCTGCGATTTACTGAATAATTCCAAGCAAAATATACAGGCGGCGTCGTCTTCATCAAAACTTGCCCCTTTATTATATTTCTTTTTTCCAGATACCTTTCGGCTTATGGCTTTTCTAGCTGCTTGTGAAGTTGACCTGCGTATTTTTCTTTTTTCTTTTACTAAAAGATAGTTTGGTGTGGAGGTAAAAACATCTGCTGCTTGAAAAGGTCTTGAACTCCTCGTCTGAGGAGGTGCCTGATGTAGTGGAGATATATCAAATAAGGTTACTAAGGTATCCTTCAACGAAGATGGAATTTCATGCCTTGTATCGCTAACTTTCGGTCTGGCAGTGTTTACTTTGGAATTTGAGTTTGAAGTACCGACTGCAAGGCTTATACTATTACTTTATGATTTGAAGCAACAACTTCCAGGTTTGACGCTGCAGTGCATAAAGTTTTATTTTCTGATGAGTCCCCTGCATTGTTATCAAAAAGACTGATTTCATCTGAAGATTGTCCACTTGTCTCCCATTCTTTTGACTCATTTGATGAAAACATATCACGAATTTTTCTTTTTCTTATAGGCAAAGTTATTGCAGACGTACTTGGATGTGAAGAAATACCTCTTTGTGGAGAAGGAGTTCTTTGTTCACGGATGGGAGCACCAGTTTCATTTTCCACTAGAGGGCGATCTGTTGTGCAGGATGATTTAAATTTCCAATCTGGAAATATACTCGGATTAAAGGGACATATTCCTGTTTTCTCAAATCCACTGAGTCCATTGTTAAGTGTGGCAGCTCTTCTATACGCTTTCCCAAACAAGCTAGCAATGTTATACAGCGTTACCACTTTTCCAGAGTTCGTTTAAAGCCATAAAATAACGTCTTCATTAAGATATGCCATTAGAGGTGAAAATACTACCACATCTAAAGGCTGCATCTCGTGTGTGCAGTGTGGAGGAAACGACAGCATTATAATGCCATTTTCTCTACAAGCTTGGACAGATTTGTGGCTTGAATGACCGTCAAGCAACAAAAGGACCTTATTTTCAACTGAACACTCGGTATGTTGTTAAAAATGCTTTAATAATAGAATAAAGGTGTCAGATTTAATGTACCTAGATTCATTGTAAAGACAAAGTGTTCCATATGGAACACCTTGAAATAATAATTAATTCCTTATTTTGCGGGGATTATTACCGGATGAATAAATTGACCAGCAGCGTTTACACATAGAACAACGCTAATATTTTGCCCCCTCTCAGCACTTGTTAGGAAACCTTCCTGCTTTCGCCCTGTGCTAAAATTTTGAGCAGCTTACTAGGGACCGTCTGAATATCTGATTCATCCGTATTGTACATTATCATTGGAGTGATGTTATTTTTACCTAAAAAGAAAAATACTTTGCGTCTGCTTCTTCATTAAGGCCTCTCGCTCTGGCAGCTGAGGTGGCCTCAGGAGTTCTAAAAGAAATCTATGGGTGTCTCTTTAGAAAATCTCTAAATTAAGCTGTTCCAGCTGACTTTTTATCTTTAGAAAACCTATGGCTAACACTATTCCTCTCCGCAAGCCCGTAGGCCATTTGCCAAGTGTTTTTTTTTTCGTCATGACGAACAGTGAATCTTCAATCTCTAAAACATACTCCTTTAAGTAAGTTTCCATTTCTTTGGGCAATGTTGTAGTGAATCTACCAAGGCTTTTTGTATAACCTTTGGCCTGAAAAAAAGTACGATGATTAGCCGACTTTTCCCTTCTTAGGTACATTTTAAAACTACATAGCGAAAGATTAGGAATAAAGCAGTCTAATTTTGTTACATTTACCAATTTATTTTAATTTTTTACCCCCTTCTTTTTAAAGTACTCAAGGACAGATTCTAAAGCCTAGCAGCTGTTTTAAAAGGCATGCCATTAGAAATGTCTTCTAAGGCAAGCCGCATTGAATTCGGATCCCATCCTTGTCTTGTCGTTTTCCGAATGTACGTTTTAACCATTATTTTTGAAAATATAATATACACTATGCTTGAAAACACTGAAAGCACTATGCCTCAACATGAAGGAACGATTTTACCTCAAAGCGTAACAACCATACAAATGAATTTATATTAGTTACTCCTTATCATTAAAGCAATAGCAACAGACCGAGAGTGTACAAAAAAAAATTACCTTTTTAAACTTCATATAATGGTTTTTTACTTACATGAATTGAAACGCCTATAAACACAACTTCAGTGTGCACGAAATTAACAAAATCACATGCGTTTTTATAGATTATGATAAAACTAGTCCTTAACGATTCGCACATCTTCACAACTTCGTACATAGGTGGCGATTGTGGTACTAATGTAGTAAATAAAGCTAAATGGTAGTTATGAGAAATATATTAGGGGACCATTTTACCCGAGGGGGCCACTTTAGCCGACTTTTCCCCTTTTAGCCAGGTAACCCTAACTACACTGACGGCGAAGACAATTGGAAAAGTAATATTGGACTTTTTAACTAAATACAATTTGGAACAAGATTAATTGGCGGCTGCGGGTTGCGGTAGTACTGTTGTTAACATCGTTAATAAAAATTGTGTTATAAGGTATATTGAGACTAAATTGAAACGTCCTATACATACCATCGAGAGTACAACGCAAGAAATATTCAAGCAAGAACATGTCTGGTTCAGAAAAGCGGAAGTGGATACAGAATGTCGTCAATTCCAAGACAAATGCACTGCTGAATACTTTTTTTATCTTGCATAGTGAAAAATCTATGTGTTTGTTGCGCAGTGTAACAATTTCTGTTTCAAAAGAATACAATATGAAGTGGCATTTCCCCAGCAAGCATTTTGCTCAATAAAATTCACTCATGAGCCAGTTAAGAAAGGATAAAATTTAAAAAATCATTACCGATTTAGGGAAACAGC